AGTCAGCTCCTAGATTTTGTCAATTTGCATTGGCCCAATTAAAGTAGGAGAATCTTGTTTATTCCCAATGCCATTTAAACATATTCTATCATTTGGCTATTGGAAGAGCAACATTGTAATATACATAATGATGTGAGTTATTCAGTTCATTCCTATCCCAGCATATGATACAAGAATATCTTAAAAAACAGAGATAGGAATGAGAGTGAGGCAAAGTCATTTTCATTTTTACATTCCCGACCATATTAATAGTGCCGAAAATGAAAGAATTTAAATGGATGAAATATAGATGTCCTCTCTTAAATAGCAAGCTCTAAACCAGAAAAATATGCTCACATTGTGAAATCTATTTTTCAAATCTACTGGAAAAAAATATTAATTAAGATATTAGTTAGATTCATATCTATTATCCTTATTTGAATATAATTTTCTCTAAATATTTATGTTTCTAAAGGTCAGTTCTGATTTTTCACAATGTGTTTATATTTTACAGATTGTTTACAGTGGGAAAGAATTGAACCATCCTTTTGGACTGTCGCATCATGGGAATTATGTGTTCTGGACTGATTATATGAATGGTTCCATTTTTCAACTAGATTTGATAACGAGTGAGGTGACATTATTGAGGCATGAAAGACCACCCCTGTTTGGGCTTCAGATTTATGATCCACGAAAACAACAAGGTATTAATAAACAAAGTGGCTTTGGGATTTCACATATAATAATACTTCACGGTAGTTATAATAAGATTTTTATTTTAACAGTGTTGCTCAAGTTTTATAATACAAGGTATCTAGTTTGCTCCAAAGTAAATCAAATCTTAGACTTTGTTATCATAAAAAATTATATTTTATTGTTCTAAATAGCCTGAGTGAGTAACTTTGGAGATGCTGCCTGAGTGAGTGAAGGTAAAAATTTTCTCCAAATATATCTTTTTTTTACCTTATTTTCAATGAAGGAGGCTGTTCGCTATTTAAAGTGAAAAAACTATCTTAATGTTTTCAAAGAGTAGATACTGTGAACAGTGAGAAAAACTTCATTTGAAAAGATGATTATTACAATATTGAAAATAATAAATTATATAAGAAAAATGTTCTTTGTTTAAAGTATCTTGGTATATTTACAAGGTTTATTTCTATATAGATCTAAGGAACATATAATTATTTTAGAGATGTAAGAGTATAATAATCTGCCAAAATTATGTCTTATTAAAGTCAGATAGCGTTGTTATATGTTTTATCTGCATGAGTTTAATATTTATTATGATAACCACAAACAGTATTATTCAGAATTTAGGTAATTAAACAGAGAAAGCAATTTAGTAAATTAGGTAGTAGATTTTTTTCATGAATATAAATAGTCACTGTTTCTTTTTCCTGGAGATATCCTTGTGAAAACTTGTGAAGTTTGCATTTCAGTAAATATAGGATGAATAAACTATATCCTGAGTCTTGCAATGCATAAGGTCAATGGGAAGTTGTCCTGAAACAAAGTGTTTTGAAGTTAATTCATCTAAATGAAGATCTTAAAGCAAACTATCTCATTCACTCATTCGAAGGTTTCAGATTTTTCTTACTATATTAAAATTGCTTGATTATGACACAAACACAATTTTCTAAAACAAGGAAAGTGTGTAAATGGAGACATATCAATAGCTAGTAAAAGATAAAGTTAACATTTGAAAGAATAAAACTGAACTTATGTGGATAGTAGATGCTACAGTGTGAGCAAGAAATGAAGGATAGAGACAATTGCCTAGGTAGGTTGCAGGTACTATTTTCTGCTCCATTCATGTACCTCCATTGCTTTCTTCCCCCTGCTGTTGTAATTTGTCTACCCTGACCAGGAATAAGACTACCAGTAGGACCAGTCCTTATGTCCTGTGGCCTCTTGTTTTCTGGATTATTGTTCTTTAATTTTACAATTACTGATTTCCTGCATGTCATCACACCATTCAAATACAATCACATTTTCCTTATTTTTTTTTTGCATTTTTTGGCTGGGACCGGGTTTGAACCCGCCACCTCCAGTATATGGGGCCAATGCCCTACTCCTTTGAGTCATGGGTGCTGCCCCACATTTTCTATTTATTAAATTATTTTTTACTTCAAAATATTTCAGTGGTGCAAATGTTTTTGTTACGGGGTAGATTTATAATGCTTTAGTCAGGGCTATAATTGTGCACATCTTCTGAATAGTGTTCATTATACTGGTAGGTAGTTTTTTTCTGTTCTCTTCTTCCTATCCTCCCCT